CTAGTATTTTTTTTTTTTTTTGGTGAGGAGGACTAGTGTTTTTATCTTATGCTTATGTGCTCTCTCAGATATCTATGAATTAGATACCTTTGAGTATAGTATATCACTGCACGAATAGTAATGCTTTTGCCAAAGGGGAGGTGTGTGCGCACAGTAACAGCATCACAGTAAAGAGAAAGAATGAATCATACTGGTAAGTTTTACCTCTTATTTATAGAGTTTACCTATAAGTATTGGAATTACGGACCTTATGCGCCTCTTCTAGCAGCCCAAAAGCATATCACTACTAAAAAATGCTTTTTTTTCGACGAAACCATCAAAAATAATAAAAATTCCGTAGAAAATGATATTTTTGACGGAATTTTCGACGGAAATGAAGCCGTCGGATAAGTCTTCATGGGTAATAGTTTTTTTGACGGAATTAGAGATACCGTCTAAAAATTTCGCCGGAAATTATTTCTGTCGAATTTTTTCGATGGAATAATTTATGTGGAAAATTTCGACGGAAAATGAATGAAATTCCGTCGAAAAATCTTGTCTCACTTTACGACGGAAAATAAATTCTGTCGAAAATTTTCGACCGAAAATGAATGAAATTCCGTTGAAAAATCTTTTAATAATTTTCGACGAAAATAAATTCAGTCGAAAATTTTCGACGAAAAATGAATGAAATTCAGTCGAAAAATCTTTTAATAATTTTCGACGGAAAACAAATTCCGTCGAAAAATTTTGACGAAAAATGAATGAAATTTTGTCGAAAATATTTTAATTTTCGACGGAAAACAAATCCCGTCGAAAATTTTCGACGAAAAATTCATAAAATACCATTGAATTTTTTTTCTCGACAATATTAATATCAATTTATGTTTCACACCTGATAAACAAATATAAGGAAAGTAATATATCACAATTATATGATTTTAATATAATTATGTGTACAAAAGTCATTGTCATATACTAATCAAAAGAGACTTATATATATAAATGTCCAAGACACATCATAAACAAAAGTCCATGTCATATACTAATCAATAGAGTCATATATCTATAAATGTCGAAGACATATACTAATCAAAAGGGATATACATATACAAAAGTCCCTATCATATACTAATCAAAAGAGTAATATATCTAAAAATGTCCAAGACATATGCTAATCAAAAGGGACATACATATACAAAAGTCCCCTGTCATATACAAATTAAAAGAGTCCTATATGTACAAATGTCCAAGACATATACTAATCAAAAGGGACATACATATACAAAAATCATTGTCATATACTAATCAAAGTAGTCTATGTACAATAGTCCCGGTCATATACATCCAACAAAGATACAAAAGTCATGCTGGTGGATGACCTGCATGATCGTGGTCATCACCTAGGTCCTGAGACGGGGGCTGAGTCTCGTCGTCATTCTCAGTATCTACAAATTCCTCAGGAAGCCTTCACAAAAGCTTCTCCATGGTGTCCATTTGCCTCTGCATTATAACCATGAGACTATCTTATTGCTCAACCTTTTTCTGCTGTTGTGTAGCCTTCTCCTATTGTTGTGCAACTGTACCATGCAACTGCATAATCAATGTGCGCATCCTGTCATGCTCTTGCTACGACACTCCAAATGGTAGCCTATTGGAGAGTCGGGATTGCTTATATACTCCTCCTCGTGTACCTAAACCGTATACCCATCCTTTACGGTTAACCCCACCACTCTCAAAGATAATATTGGTGAGGGAACAAACCTAGGTCCTTCCATCACCTACTTAGCTCACATGCAACAGCTGAATTTTCTCCATAAAAAATAGCTATGAATAATATTATTTTATTTTATTTAAAATATATAATATCATATATGTCGGCCTGTAGGCTGATAGGCCCGGCATGTTAAAAAAAAGCATATCACATACTTTATAAATAGGCTTCTTTAAAAGCCCAGGCATGTACAATTTGATTATATGTAATAGACCAAACCTGGTTTGATATAGGCTAGGCCGTAAGCCCCTGTAAGCTGGCCCGGCCCACTTTCGCCCCTGCTCTCAGTGTATCGGTCACTCTTTCTTCTCTTTTCATTCCACTGAACCCACATTGAAGGGGGAAGAGGAGTAAATCCATTAACTTATGTAACTATCTCGTCTCGAGCCAGTTCAATTAACATAGATATAATATTTAAACATGCATCAGCGAACATCTTACTTAATATTTTATCTCGATAATCAAAAGTATGAGCTAACTTTTTCTTTTATTTTCGTTCCCTTTAATTCACATGATATATTGCAACTCATACATATTTTCTTACTGTTCATAACATACTTTATTTGCGTTCATTATCTAATACTTCCGTGATCAATGACCATAGTCAAAGATCACGTACCATCATGATATGACCATAAGTGTCAATCCAGACGGAGTCTTAAATTGGACAGAGTTCCGTTTGTTTCTTGAAAAAACGGGGATATACCCCCATTCTCATAATGTCCTGATAAGCACATGCATCATAATATATCAGATATACAAATTCAAATATTTTCCTAATATTAAAAATGAATTTGGTAATATATTAGTCAATAAATTTTATTGTGAAATAATATTTATAATTAATTATGTCCCTCGACCTATTGTTTGTATATTACATACATCAAGTCATTAATCTCAAATATAATATTTAATTAACCACACTAAAAATTAATCCTTTAAAGATGAACATATACTCAATATTATTTTATATTTTATTTACGATTAAAATTTATATTCAATAGTTCTAAAAAATTATGATTAAATATCTTTTACAAATTTAATTTTGTTCAAAATGAGTGTTTAATTAGAAAATAATAAATATAATATAGTCATTGAAATTTAATTATGAATATCAATATGAAGATAATTCAGTTTATCATATATTTTTTTATAAGGGTTTTCGACGGAATATGAATTCCGTCGAAAAATTCATATATAAATTTTATTTTTTCTTTATTTTTTTATGTAGGTTTTCGACCGAATTTCTTTTCGGTCGAAAATTTTCGACGGAATCTAATTTTCGTCGAAAACTACATGAATATAATTCCTTTTAATTTTTTATTTTTTTATATGGGTTTTCGACAGATTTTTTTTTCGTCGAATTTTTTTGACAGAATCTGATTTCCGTCAAAAAATTCATTAATATTATTTCTTTTTCTTTTATTTTTTCATATGGGTTTTCGACGTAATTCATTTTTCGTCGATTATTTTCGATGGAATCTTATTTCCGTCGAAAAATTCATTAATATTATTTCTTTTTCCTTTATTTTTTATATGGGGTTTCGACGGAATTAGTTTTTCGTCGAATATTCTCGACGGAATCTGATTTTCTTCGAAAAAATCATTAATATACTTTCTTTTTTTTTTTTTTTTTTTTTATATGAGTTTTCGACGGAATTCATTTTTCGTCGAAAATATTTGACGGAATCTGATTTCCGTCGAAATATTCTTTAATATAATTTCTTTTTTCTTTATTTTGTTAGATTCTTCAACGGAAATTCATTTTCCGTCGATAAATTTCGACGGAAAATGATTTCCATCGAAATTTCCGTCTTTAATTTTGACGGAAAATTTTTGTCGAAAATTTTCGTAAAATTTTTTGCATTTTTTAGTAGTGCATGTTTGATGCTGTCGTATTAGGATTAATATCTTAAATTGATATTCTCCTTTGATTATATTGGATTGTTATTTTTGTTATCCCTTGTTGGACTTAATATTATGGGTTTGCTTTTTCTGCAGTCAATGTAGATAACTATGTAGATAAGTTATCTACATTGAGTCCAAAATGACGTTATTTTGGGGCAAAAATCAAGGTATTTTTGTAATTATAATTTATTTCAGGGTAATATTAGTCTTTCTCATTATAATATTTTAATCTTTCAACCCAAAACGATGTCATTTGGGAGTAAATGTAGATAACTTATCTACATTCATTATAGAAACATTAAAGTCTAAGGTAGTGTTTGGTTCGGGAGAAATTTGTTTTTACTAGGGAAATGTAATTGATAGGGAAATGGTTGGAAAGTGAGTTTGGTAGGAAAATGTAAAAAAAGTTGTTTGGTTGACCCAAATATTACCAGGGAAATTTATTTAAATATGCAAAATCTATGTTCGGGAGAAACTTTGCACCTGTTTTTTCACTTCCCCTGTTATCTCAAAATACCACATCTCAAGTGGTATTCTGTAACAGTGAATTTCATCCAAAAATCAACACAAAAGTCAATTTTCCATCTATCCTATTTGCATGGTATTTTTTGAAAAAACCTGAACCAAACGTGATATTTTCCAATATCCACTTACACTTTCCCATCAATTCCAAAATAAACCTTCAACCAAACACTACCTAATACTATAATGGCCTCGTATACGAGTTCATAACATCAACAAATATGCAGCAAAATACAATCATTTTACTTAAAATAATACAAAATAACAAACTATTTTCCGTATACATTATATTCGGGATCAAGACATCTGCAGTTTGTTTTTTAAATGTCGGTATATCAACTCTTAAAATCCATTTGAAGTTTGATGAAATATTGAAAAAAAAATGTACTAATTAAGTAATATTGAATGAATGGTATGATGTGAAACTGCATCACTGCGTGTTATTTTTACAGCTGTAGGAGATCCACATCCTATATCCGCAGTGCTATAAGGGAAAAAAAATATTTAAATATTTGAAGTTAATAACAGAATATTCTACAACAAATTTATATCATAGAACTTGTTCGGTTTAAGAAATTATTTTTTTATTGAGGGTCAAACTGATGGTTCTGTTGAAGACTTGGTAATGTGGAACCGATGAATAATACTCGTAAATAATGTGTTTTATATTATAGAAATAGTACAAATTCATTTTATTGATGGCAGTGACAATCATTTGGAGTTCTTCAATCCATTAATTTCTATAAATAAGCCAAAGCTTTGTGATAGGCTAACATATCTAACATAGCATATCCATTGAGCTAAAGCAAAATCCCCCATGGCCTCTGACAAAACCTTCCCTTCAAAAGAATCAAAACCCGATGAAAACCCTTGGTTAATCCAACTCAAAGAGATGCTGAGTGAAACCAACCTCGGAACCTTGAAGGATATGCCCGTTTGCATTCACCAAGTCCCCAAATCTTTGAGTTGTGCCAAACCAGAAGCCTTTACCCCACAAATTATAGCCATTGGTCCATATAACCAATTTCGTCCTGAGATCTATCCCTTGCAAAGGTTCAAAAATTTTTCAGCCCAAAGGGTTCTCGAGCACTTCAAACATGACATCGATCAATTAGTCGAGAAACTCAACAACACAGTGTCATTCGTCCGTGCTTGTTATCACAAATACTTGCACATCGACGAGAATACCTTGTTATACACCATGGCCATTGATGGTTTGTTCTTATTGTATTTCTTTCACAACTATCTCGACGAGAAAGAGTCTTTCTTGAAAGGAATAGACCAACAACTTGAGAAAAATGGTGTCAAGCATACCAAAGATGACATCATAAGAGATATGCTCATGGTCGACAACCAAATCCCAACCTTCATATTGAGGAGAATCTTAATCTTGATGATTGAAAGATCCAAACATGAACATGATTCAGTTGATAAAACCATTGGTCAGATGCACTTGACGATTGAAGACTTCAAACCTGATGATCAAGTTTATGAAATATTGGGTCCGATGCTCTTGTCATTCTGTAAGAAACATTGTCCACTCAAGTTAACTCAAACATGGTCAAAAGCTCTCGCCATGCGTTATCATTTGTTGGATCTCATGTATCATTTGGTGGTTCCTGAGAATGAAAAGTCAGAAACAACAGCAACATCTGAAATAGAAGGTATGCGTGATACCTCTGCCACTGATGCTCCTAAACCCAAGAAATGCTCAATATCTGAAGGCATAGACAAATTCAAAAAGAAAGTTAATGTTCCAATAAAGGGGACACGAGACTATCTCAAAAACGTGAAGGATATGAATGTTCCTCTCTTGCTACCAATTAAACCATGTATAGATGGAACATACAGTGTGCTAAACTTGTGTCAAAGTTGTACATCAGAATCCCCTTTTGACATTGAAGCTCCTAAGGTTGTTCTCATTCCTTCTGTGCGTAAGCTTCATTCTGTTGGGATCCGTTGTAAACCCTCTGAAGGTGGCATCAACACCATTCATTTCGATAAGAGGAAGTGCATACTTTACCTCCCTGTGATCGAATTGGATGTCAACTCTGAAGTGATAATGAGAAACCTTGTGGCTTACGAGGCCTTGACTCAACCTCCAAATTCATTCATCTTCACAAGGTACACAGAATTGATGGGAGCAATGATAGGCACTGTGAAGGATGTTAAGCTTCTGAAGGATGCAGACATCATAGAAAAAACAAGCTCTCTCAGTGTTGAAGGAACTCTGGAACTTTTCAATGGGATGAACAAATTCATTGGACCCACCAACACTGTAAAGTCATTGGATGAAACCATTGAGAAAGTTAACAAGTGCTTCCGTAAAAAGCAGAAGTTCAGCCTCCGCAGGAGCTTCACCAATTGCGTGAACTCTTATTGGCAATTCCTCACATTTCTTGCCACCGTAGTGCTGTTGGCCATGACGGCTTTCCAAACATTTTGCACCGTTTATGATTGTCCCAGTCATTTCAGACACAAATGATTTTTTAGAAATACTTTTTTTATATTGTTGGAAAATAGTTACGTCATGTTGTAGAATAAAATTACAAGTGGACCCACAAGTAAGAGGAGAGAGAAAAAAGAGTGATGAGACTCAACTTTTTTTTGTATCTTAGAAAAGTTGTTTATCTAATGAGATAAAGATAACCCCTGATTTTTTTATATCATTTTATTTTTCTTCGTTTTAAGTTCATGTGTGAATTTTGTTATTAATTCTATTATTTTCAAATAAAAACATAAGAAGAAATATTGTTTTCAAGTTATTAGGATTATGTTCTCTTTAATAAGAGATCGCTGAATTCGAGTTTTAGGAAAGAAAAATATATTGTCGAGTGAGCAACCTTCTATATGGATCTCACAGAATTTGAACATCACTAACCAAGTTTTTGCCGTTCGAAAAATCAAGGAAAAATAAAAGAGAATGAGAAACACAAAAGAAAATAAAATTATACAACATGCGTGGCATGGGGCCGGCCATAGGGAATATATATATATATATATATATATATATATATATATATATATATATATATATGTTTGAAGAATGAAGATAAGGTTACAAACTATGAAAGATCATAAATTATTATTATCATTTTGCATGTAAATGGTTGATAATATGTTAGAAGAACAATGTAAGTGGTTGACAAATTAGTTTCGCAACTATAATGATCTTTAAGGTAGTAATTTTATTACGCATGTAATAATTTAAAAATATATAAATTATTCACACTATATCTTATGCATAGATTGAATAATGCTACAAATTTAATTCTCCACTATATTTTTTTCCTAAGTTATTAGGGTTGTAGGAGATAAATTATCTCCTCAGAAATGAAAAACACTTCTCTCTCTCTCTCTCTATATATATATATATATATATATATATATATATATATATAGGTTTTATTAATCTCATGTTAAAGGAGATAAGTTATCTCATGTCATAGAGACAAATTTGTGGGCTTCACCCTTGAAAAATAAAAAAAAAGTGGCACAGTTATCGAAGGATGTGAAGGAGGAAAAATTATCACATGTAACATAAGAGTAGTTTTTTTCTCTATATATATATATATATATATATATATATATATATATATATAGGTTTTATTAATCTCATGTTAAAGGAGATAAGTTATCTCATGTCATAGAGACAAATTTGTGGGCTTCACCCTTGAAAAATAAAAAAAAGTGGCACAGTTATCGAAGGATGTGAAGGAGGAAAAATTATCACATGTAACATAAGAGTAGTTTTTTTCTATATATATATATATATATATATATATATATATATATATATATATATATATATATATATATATATGGTCCTTTTTTTTATGTTGCAGAGAATTCTTTCTCCTACTATAGATACAAGATGTGGTGGCCCCACTACACATTAAAAATAAAAAATTGTTGCACACAATTCGATGACTCACTAGCAGAAGAAAGAATTCTCTTACAACATAAGACTTATTTTCCCATATATATATATATATATATATATATATATATATATATATATATATATATATATATAGAGAGAGAGGAGAGAGAAAGAGAGAATTTATCTTTTTTATCTAACAGCTATCAGATGAGGTGTCAAATTTCAAATTTGACATTGGTGTCAACAGATTCTACCTCGTATATACATACATATATATATATATATATATGGGAAATTATACTCTTATGCTACATAAAAGTCCTATCTCATTTTACACTCACATAAAAAGACGTGCCTCTTTTTTCTTTTTTTAAAAATTGATGGGTCCCACTTAATTTATCTCACAACATGAGATAGCTTCTCTCATACAACATGAGAGAAGTAAAACCCTATATATATATATATATATATATATATATACATATAGGATTTTATTTTTCTTATGTTGCATGAGACAAGTTGTCTCATGCAACACACAAAAAGTGAATGGGACCCACTAAAAAAGAAGAGAGAGAAAATAAAAAAAGTGGGTCCCACCCACTTTTAGTGTGTTGCATGAGACAATTTGTCTCATGCAACATAAGAAAAATAAAACCCATATATATATATTAGAAATAGTTGGGTGGGGAAGATCTATCATCAATAGGTTACGCAAAAAAAAATCATAATAAGTGTGTTTGATATTATATATATATCCAAAATCTTTAAGCATTAAATTTATGGGTCTTTCAACTTATATAGTCCTCACTTAGTATATTTCTAACCGATGTAAAACTTACTCCTCACACTTGGATTCCCAACAAAAACTTAATAGGACCTAATATGTAAAAAAACCATGTAGTTTGTTTCCATTTTGTAGAGAAACATGAGACGAAAGGAATATTGGAATAAATGAACTACTGAGTATATATATACTGAAATACATGATATGCACTAAGCCTATACGTACTACTTCTACTATATATACAACACTTCATTTCAAGCTGGAGCGTATAAATCATAAGTACCAAACTTGTTACATATATATTCAATTTGAGGATCCCTTATATGGAATTTGTTTTTTTAAAAAGGTCCCCTTATCCGAAGAATTTTTTTTTTTGAAAAGGCGATGAACAGTGGGTCCGCCGGAGAAAATAAGTGGATAAAGGTTCCTTTCGTTAAAGCTCTAGATGCCATGTAGAGAAATAAGAGACGAAACAAATATTGGAATAAATCTGTATATGTAATAGCACAACAGAGATTATATTATATATAAAACTAGTGAGCGTATACTTACAAATACGTGATGTGGGATTAAGCCTATACTACTTCTACTATATATACAACACATTTCAAGTTTCGAAATTTAAGGATATATGAATTTGTTCTTAATTTTATTATTTCAAGATAAATACATAAGAATTAGTAATTATTGATTCATGTGATTTGGATTATGATCATTTCGAATTTGAGGTTTAAAGAATGGAGACAGCTATCTTCCATAGAGACCTAACAGAAGTTGAAACTGATTAATCGAGTTTTCGTTAAACCGGTAGAAAAATCAAGAAGAAGAAAAAAAAAAAAAAGGACAAAGAATACAGCATATGCACGGCATACGGTCGGCTAAGACATATATAGAAATCCTAAATAATTCTTGTGGTGGTTAGGGACGCCAAAACATAAGAGACATCCATTAAGGGACTAGTATATAACAATTATAATCGACAAAAGATCTCATATAAGGGGTTGATAAATTGGTATCACAATTATAGTAACGCAATAATTTTATGAAACACGTATAATATTAATAATTTTAATATCTATAAATTATTGCACGCTATTTCTTTTGTGTACTTTGAAAAATACTACAAAGTTTTAAGTCTCCCCCAAATTTTTGCACCCTATATCTTATACATTTTGCACCGTTTACAGGTTGACGTAAAAAACACAAGAACCAATAATTTTTGGTCCAAACAATAATGAGTTTATTTCCTTTAATAAGAGATTTTTCAATTCGAGTTCTAAAATTGAAAATAAAAAATCTAGAAAGAACTATCAAATGAGATTAATTCAATTTTCATCATTTCTTATTATTGTAATATAAGGCAAGCAAAATATACGTATACGGCATGCATCACATAGAATCTGCAAGGGATGGAGGGGTTATAAACTTTTTTTTCTTACAAACTTACAAACTACACTAAGTCTGACTAGTCATACTTCAATCAAGAGTGTATGTAAAAAAAATTTTTGTCAATATAACCTATATATATATATATATATATATATATATATATATATATATATATATATGGGTTTTATGAGTATAATGTTGTAGGATATAAGAAAAGTTTCCAACTCTCACAATAAAGAAGAGAGAGAAATTGAAATGATGAAAGAGAAAAAAAAAATATGTGGACTCCATCTCTTAATTGTGTGTGTAGGAAAGTTTTATTAAGTTATGTAACATGATACTAATAAAACCCTATATATATATATATATATCAAGAATGAGGACAAGGTTACCCACTATGAAAGATCATAAATATTTACCATCATTTTCCGTGTAAGTTGAGGAATTAGTATGACTACTATAATAATCTTTAAATCAGTAAATTTATTACGCACATAAAAATTGTAATACATGTAAATTATTGCACATTATTTTTCATGTATGTATACTTTGAATAATACTAAAAAATTTAAGTCTCCACTGTATTAATTATTCATTCCTTATAAAGTAAGTAATATGACATCAGTAATAGTTATTTACAATAATAGTGAGACGACTGGAGATTGCTCCAATATAATTATATAAATCGTAACAAACTTAATTTCAGACAGTTTATCTTTTTATCCCACATTATTATTGTTTCCCGGGCAAAAAAATTTAATTATTGCATTTTAATTAAATAATTACGCATTTATTGCAGTTTTGAAAATATTTACGAATCTATTGCACAATGTGACGTCATTTTTGGGCGTCACATGTGACGCCTCATTTAGGCGTCTCTCACCTAAGGTTGACACATGTCATTTTTTTTTCTAAAAATAATAATAATTTAATCATAAAACTTCTGAAGGCCATAACTTTTGACTCGGGTATCCAATTCAGGTAATTCTTTTTTTGATTCCACATAACTTTTCGAGATCTACGCAATGACATCTCATTTGATATATTTCATTTTTCACAAACATAATTTAAATTTAAATTAGGTAATCCTTCTTCCTTTGAGATTTAAAATATTTATTTAATTATTTCCTTTATTAATACATTTTTTTCAAATTGATTTTTGAGTTTAAATCACAAATCAAATTTTTATTTTGTTTTCCTTATTAATAATAATTGTTACTCTTAATTTAAATCACAAACCAAAAATTTTTATAATAAAAATAAAAAAATTTATTTTTTAAATTAAATCACACATCAAATCTTGATTTATTTTTTAAATTAAATCACAAACGCAGAACTCCGAGGCTTCTGAGTTTAAAAATGTGACACGTGTCAACTCGTGACACGTCACCAATCACGTCTAAATTGGGTTTCAATCAAGAGGCAATCA